TAATTAAGGATTAAGAAGGAGGATCAATGCTTTTGCGATGTGGTGCTGAAGAAGAGTGTTGAACATACTGTGGAGTGCCAGAAGAAAAAACAGGTCTCCTAGAGAGGGTGAAACCAGGCAGCCCTCTGAAGTCAAGGATTTTGAGGCTCCATCTCACGTACTTTAGGCACGTGGTCAGGAGGGAGCAGTCCTTAGAGAAGGGCATCATGTTTCGAAGAGTGGAGGAGAGAAAGACCCAGGATGAGATGGACTGATTCAGTGACTGGAACAACGAGATTAGGTCTGTCGGAGAGGATGAGATTGGCACAGGGTAGGGCAGCTTTCAGAGCTAATGTACATCGCAGCACTGTGAGTGGCAGGCAACTTGATGGCACTTAACAACGGGGAACAGTGGTGGTTCAGTGGTAGAATTCTTGCCTTCTGTGCATGAGGCTGGGGTTCCGTTCTTGATCAATGCACTTCACGCACAGTCACCCTTGTCAGTAACACACTTGGGTGTTACTATGGCACTAAACATGTTTCAACAAGCTTCTACACCAGGAAAAAGTGATGAACTACTTTTAAAAAAGAAAGCCAGTCAAAGAAAACCCTGTGGATAACAAAGCTCCAGCCTGGGTGTGCATGCAGTTGCCATGAGTCAGGGGGCTGACTTGATAACAAATGATTGCTATGAACCTGGCACTACAAGAGATAAAATATAGATAAGATGTAGTACCTACTCTGGATGGGTTGTACATAGTCTACCAAGAGAAAATATATCACAATCTTACATATTAGAGGGAAAAAACAAAAAAGTATTTTAAAAACAATAGCTACAATATATCAAATAGCTACAATAGATTAGATCTACTGGGGACCTGGTGGCTCTAACTATGAGGTCGAAAGTTCAAATCCACCAGGTGCTGTGCAGGAGAAAAATGGGTACTGTCATCTCAAAAAGATTTAAAGTTTTGGGAAACTCTGGAGGGTCACTATGAGGTGAGCCAGAATTGATAGCCCTGAGGCTGAGTTTTTGATAGACTGAGCAACTAGTGAGGATAGAAGGAGAACTGATGCCTCTGATCTGTGGTGCTGGAGGAGAACTGCTAAGAAAACGAACAGGTTCATCCTAGAGAGGGTTAAACCAGGCTGCTCCTTGGAGGCAAAGATTCTGAAGCTTCATCTAACATACTTTTGACATGGTGCAAGGAGGGACCAGTCCTTGGAGAGGGACGTCATGCTTGGGAGGGTGGAGCGACAGCACAGGAGAGAAAGACCCTCAATGAGGTGGACTGATTCAGTGACTGGAATAATGGGGGTAGGTGTGTCGGAGACAGCGACACTGGCACAGGTAGAGCAGAGTTTAGGGCTGTAGTAAATAGGGTCGCTATGAGTTGCAGACGATTGGACGGCACATAACAAGCACTGAGCAAGGCTTGTCACAAATAATATTTTACTTAAATTAGTCTGTCATTTTGGGGAAGTTTCTCACCACAGGACCAATTGGCAGCATCAGGATGAAGAGATTGAGATTGTTCACAGCTTTAGTCTGCTTGGCTCCACAATCAACACTCTTGGCACCAGCAGCTAGGAAATTAAAAGACGTATTGCGATGGGAAAGTCTGCTGTTAGGGACCTCTCTAAAGTACTGAAAAGCAACAGTGTTTCTCTGGAGACTAAGGTATAGGCCATGGTCTTTGCAATCACTTGTTATGCGTCAGAGAGCTGGACAATGACCAAGGAGGATAGAAGGAAAATTGATGCTTTTGAGCTTTGGTGTTGGAGAAGAGTGTTGAGGGTACCATGGACTGCTAAGAAAACAAACAGATTCATCCTGGAGAGGGTTAAACTGGGCTGCTCCTTGGAGGCAAGGATTCTGAGGCTTCATCTGACATACTTTAGTCATGCTGTAAGGAGAGACCGGTCCTTGGAGAAGGACATCATGCTTGGGAGGGTGGAGGGCAGGTGCAGGAAGGGAAGGCCCTCTGGGAGGTGGATTGATTCAGTGACTGGGGCAATCAGGATGAGTGTGTCGGAGACAACGAGATTGGCATAGGACAGAGCAGAGTTTAGAGCTGTTGTACACAGGATCTCTATGAGTCGCAAGCGACTCAAAAGCACATAACAACAAGTGTCATTATGTCATTTTAGAGTGAAGAAGCTGAGGTTTAGAGATTAAAAGATAATTTGTTCAAAGTCTTATCTATTTTGGGCTAGGACTAGGACTCCTTGCTTTGCAAGTCTAACACTCGGGCCTATAGTACCTTTTCACAAATAATGTGCACATTAGACAGAGGGGTTTTCTCCTTCAAACCGTGCAACCTCCTCACATATTACTTTCCTCTGTGCACTGAGCATTACATGTGTATGTCGCTGATTCAAGTTACTTCTGAAAAAAATGGGGTAATCATTTCACTATGTCACCAGGCAAGTCCTTTGCTGGATGCAGCTACAGAAATATAAGTTAGTGTTTCAGTAACTTGGCCCTTATTAGAAAAAGCCTACGCATACAGACAAGCATAGTGCAAAACTAAGGAGTCCTGTTCCTTTACCTATTTTTGCTCTTACCTACTTCATATAAATTTAACACCTGTCAAGGTGGCTTTAAGAAATGCCACTGGTTTTTAATGAGTCTGTACAGTAAAGGATTCCTTGGAGTAGAAGCCATTTATTACACTGCAACCAGTAAGTGTCAGATATAAATAGCATTTCTGAGTTCTGAGTAATAAAAGATTTCCATTGTAACTGCAAAGTGTTTTGTCAATAATCAGTTCTACAAGCATGTTGCTTTTTAGAGACTAAATGACAGAAATAGGAAAAATCCTATAAATCACATACAACAGTAAAAACATGTAGATAAAAAGAAATTCACTTTATCATCAGAAGGTGTAGATTTAAACCCTTATCACCCTATAATTTTTTATGTAACTACAGGCAAATGACTTATCACCAAGCATAAGGCAGAAGCTGGGAGTATGATAAAAATGAGACCAACACCACTTGGTGGACTGCAGTCAGCATTAGATACACTAGTGTATATAACTGCCTTGCATAATGCCTAGGTTATACTATATATTCAATAAATAGCACTTCCCTTCCAGGGTAAAATTCCTTCATATTCAAAGTGATTTTGCTGTGAACTATACATTCAAGTATTTCTACACTTGTGACCACTGTTGTAAGTACTTAGTATAAGACAACGCGATATGATACCTTATTGTAAAAAGCAACATATAATTTTCTGGTCAGTCTGAGAATGACTGTAGTTTGCTTTCTGATACACTGAAAATAGGTCATAAACTCCTGTGGTAAAATGAGCAACTTTTTGAGACCTTATGCCTTTATTCTTTGGAAAAATAGCTCGCAAGACTTTTCTCCTAAGCCTTGAGGAGCTACAACTGCCCTAATTTTCTAATCTGGAAGGTTTGTTACTTTTTTCCCAAGCTGATTTGTTATTTCCTTGACATTGGGTAGGCTTTAATGGCTTGATTTGATTTTTTTTAGTCTGTTCCTTGGCTGTGATTGGTATGTACGCTGCAGGGACTGGCCACTAGAACTGTTCAGAACTGGCCTAGCAAGAAAGAACTGATCAGGTGTGGCTCCCACTAAGAGAGCTATGCCTTGAAGTTGATGCAGGTTTTTGTATCTAAGCAGCAAACCCCACAGGTGCCATTTCTGGGAAAGAAAGAAGCAGAGAGAAGCTTAACAAAGAAGCAGAGAGAGAAAAGAAAGATTATGTGAGTTCAAGAAACTTTCTAAAAAAGCTGAAAAACAGGTCAAAGACACTAATATTGAAGTCAGCAAGAGGCCCAAAAGGCCTCAGTGGCAGAGCCAGCAGTGAAAGGTTCAGAAGCAGGGTGGCAAAGCTGGCAGTGACAGGCATCAGGGCCAAGAGGGGCCTGTCCTGTGAGACAGAAAGAGATCCCACACTGCTGAGAGCTGCTCTGCACTGAAGAAGGGAGTCTGTCTGCTACTTCCTGAACTTCAGTTCGAGTTGTACTCAGTTACTTCCTTAATAAGTCAGTAAACTTCAAGCATGGTCTGTGAGTTCTGTGTAGCTGTTCCAACAGATTATTGAATCTAAAAGACAAGGAAAGGAGTGCTGTGGGAGTGATGTGTGGTATCAGAATTGGAAAAGGTTAGAGTGGAGATCAGTCCTGGGCTGATCTTGATTCACATTAACCCCCCTGAAGCTGAGCAGATTCTGATGCTACTTTTCCTACTATTATCCTTATCCTTTCACAACAGATGTCAAGAATGGGATGTGTTGCAAAGGCTCTGATTTATGAAAGTATGAGGTTTCGGAGAAGAATGGATGTGTGGCCATGAGATGAGAAATCTCTGACTTCCAAACTGGTTTCAAAACACCTATAGTTTGAAGCAGCCCTCATACTGAAATCCGTTACCTGAGGCAGAAGTAACTCACACAACCCTCAAGACCCTGCAGGTTTTCAGGAATCCTTGGTACATATTCTAGTCAGCCTCTGAGACAAGATGGCAAATTCCCTTTACTATCAGATGTTATCCTCTATGGATAAAAAACCAGCAACAACAAATACTCCAAAACGTCAATTCCTAAATTAAAGGTTAGAAGAGCCAATGAAAGTTCTTTGTTCAAGATGACAGAATCAGCTCTATGGACTTGCTCCTGGATTATTGTTACTTCTTCCCTTGCAGGGTCTCTCCCTTTTTGAACCCTACTCCAGAACTAAGCAGAAGAGAGGTAAATAACTGGTGTTTCAGGAATGCTTGTTGACCAAATTGTTAGAGAGCAGAACCAGAGAGACTAAAGAGAAGAAAACCATGAATGCAACACCTCTATGCTAGGATCTTTTCATTTTCTTAGTTCTCTATGAGGTACAGCATTATTATCTACAATTTAAAAATGAAAGATCATAGGGATCACAGAACATCAATTTCACAGTTGACAAATGATGGATTCCCAGTTCAGTCTTTTACTCACTAGGATTTGCTGTGATTGGAAGGTAGGATCATTTCAGTTGGGAAAACCTTTTACCTACTCAATGATAACGTTGTTGGGATCCAAGTCTTTCCCAGTTCCCTGGTTGACAACTTTCATGGAGAGGGATATTTTTATCCTATCATTTTTCATCTGAAAAAGGAAAAAAAACCCAAAATCACCAAAAGCTCTCAGTATATGTAAGACATCACTAATTTAAAATTATCTAAGAATTAAAGCCTTTCACCACCATAATAAATATTTATTGAAGTTCTTTAAAAGAAAATGCTGGTGGCTTGGAAGGTAAGGAGTTGCAGGGCCAACCAGAAAAGCAGGCTGTCTGAACCCATCAGATGTTCCAAGGGAGAAATGGTCAATATCTTGTGCAATGTATAACCTCTGAAAATCCACTAGATCAGTTGAGTCGGTTATGACTTGACAGCCCTGAGTTTTGATGAGCTGAGTTAATGGATAAGGTATTATACTAGGTAGTCTGTGGTAACAAAGGAATACAATATCCAGATACTATGGCAAGAGATTTCAAGTAAATGTTCCTCTCATTTTTGTCTCTCTTCAGATAAAGATCACGGCTAAAAATTCCAAAGTCTACAGAAATTATCAGGCTGATGGTAAAACAGTTTCTGCCAGGTAAGAGTAGCTCAGGAACCAGTTCAGGGATTATAAACTCGGAATGCGTTTTAGAATGTCCCACAAACGAGTTCTTCTTCTTTAAGCATGAGGACACGTGCTAGTCCCATTTCAAAGTCTTTCCATTAGTTTTTCTCTTACCTCAAATATGTGTAACCCAACTTTTCTCATTAGTACTCTTCTGTTGAGTCTTACCGTACCTACTACTTCCTTAGAGAGGCCCTTCCCTATCTATAACTTATCTCCAATATTGTCTGAGCCCATCACACCACTCACTTCCTATCATTTACAATTATTTCATGTATATATTTGTTTATATTTTTGTCTTCTCTAGGCTGAAAGAGAACATCAGAAGACTGTCAATCTGTATTTTAGTGACTATGCAAAGGCAGTTGAATGTGTGGATTACAACAAACTAGGGCTAACAGTGAGAAGACTGAGAATTCCGGAAGACTTAATTGTGCTCACATGAAATCTACACCTAGATGAAGAAGATGTTGTCTGAATGGAACAAGGGAACCCTAGATGGTTTAAAATCAGGAAGGGTGTGCATCATGGTTGTAGCCTTTCTCCATAGCTATTCCATCCATATGCTTAGCAAATAATTTGTGAAGTCAGCCTCTATGAAGAAGAAAGTGGCATTAGGATCAAAGGAGACTCATCAACAACCTGTATAATGCAGACAAAGTAACCTTGCTTGCAGAAAGTGAGAACGACCATATGGATTACATCTCAACATCAAGAAAACATAAGTCCTCACCACTGGGCCAATAGGCAACGTCACAATAGATGGAAAAAGGGATCAAACAGCACTATTTGGTACTAGCAATCAGGAGACATGGAGACATGCTGCTTTGGGCAAGACCACTATCAGAGACCTCTCCAAAATACTGAAGAGTAATGATGTCAATTTTAAGACTATGGTATATGGGATTGAGGCCATGGTCTTTTCAATTACTTGCTTTTCAACCATTTGAGAGCTGGGCAATGAATAAAGATAATATAAGAACTGATGTCTTTAAGTTGTGGTGATGGACAAAGACTACTGAATAGACCATAGACTGCCAGAAGAATGAACAGGTATGTCTTGAGAAAGGTGCAGGCAGAGCATGCCTTGGTGACAAGGATGGTAAAGCTTTATCTCTCATACTTTGGACATGTTGCTAGGAGAAGCTATTCCTTGGAAAGAGATGGTGGATACTTAGAAAGGTGGTGGGTGGGTCAGCAAAAGAAAACAAGACTTCCCAGTGAGATGGACTGACATGGTAACTGTAGCAATGAGCTCAAGTGTATCAGAGGTGGTAGGACTGCACAGGATAGAACTGGATTCAGATCTTTTGTTCACACAGTTGCTATGACTCGTACTCATTTTGACAGTTCTTAATAACGACAACAGCAGGAGAGGTAGGTTCATTTATATCTGGTTCATTTTTGTATCTCCAGAATCCAGCACCAGGTCAGCACTCGGATATCTCTTTCAGGCTGGTCTTCTCTGCCATTCTCTAACAGTAATGCAAGATTCTATTTATCTCATGTTTATCTTATCCTCAAAGAAGTCACTATTAACACATTGCAGCACACTTTTAAATTGACAATCGTTCTTAGAAACACATTTTGCCATCATTTGTGGCAATGTGTTAATAGGGTCCTCTGTGGACCCCTTTTACCTCTTCTACACTGCATGCCAGATATTCAATTTTCTATGACGTTTCTGAGTCCAAATTGAAGTGCATATGTTAGATATTTTTTAAAGTTTGTAATAAAGACTTATCCTACAAAGGAGCTCTGATGGCCTAAGTGGCAAGAAGCTGCACTGCAATCCCAGAAGTAAGCAGTGCGAATCCACCAGATGCTCTGCTGGAGAAGGAGGGGCAATCTTCTCCTGTACCAATCAGATCCAATTTGATGGTACACACACGCATAAAATAATCATCATCATCATCATCGTAGTAGTAGTAGTAGAATAATAATAAAAAGACCCCCAAGCATTTAAAAAAAAGAAAAAAGATTCATCCTACAGAATACATTATCTTTTTTTCATTTTGTTTTTTATTCTTCTAACTCACCATTTTGAACTCTGGGGTAAGAAGCTGTGCTGCAAGCCCAAAGGCACACGGCTGAAATCCACCAGGTGCTCCACGGGAGAAGGATGGGCAATCTCCTCCTATGTGACCTACTGCTTCTGAAAACCCGTCGGAGGGTCAGCTAAGGTTTGGTTCTGACTCAATGGCACACAACAACAAAAACAACTTACGCTTTGTTTGAGATTCAAGGAGAGAAGTTTTAAAAATATGTCTTTATTTTACCACACTGACTGTATTGACACCATTCCTTCTGAGTTTGCAAGACAAAAGCCAAAAAGTTGACATTCAAGATAAAATAAAGTGGTAGATTCCAAAGTAAGACTATCTGTCATAGTTAACAGTATGTATTATAAAGTATTAGGAAGCCCCAGGTTTTTCTTTTCCTTTCTAGCCACATGAAAGTTGTAAAAAGTTTTACCTCTCGGCCAATAAGCTTCACCCACACTTTGTCTCCGACATCTACTATTTCAGAAGGCTTCTCTACTCGACAGGATGACATGTGAGTTCGATGGACAAGACCTGGATACAGAGGAGAAATCATATTTATACCATAAATGACTAATTAAGATAGGAGTTGACTGGCATATTCACACAATGGAATACTTTGCTACATTGAAAAACAAAGAACTTATGCAATATTATACAGAATGGATGAACCTGAAGGACATTATGCTGAGTGAAATATCTCAGTCACAAAAGGACAAATACTGCATAGTGCCACTATTGTAAAACAGGACTGACCTCAGGGTTGCAGGGAGACTGAGAAAGATGGGATAAATTATGTATACTGTATTGAAACAGATGAGGGAGAGAACTGATTAAAAGTGATATATTAGGTATTATTGTCATGACAGGAGTTGAGAATGAAGGCTGCATAGTGGAGTGGACTGGTGGTTGGGGGTAATTGCATAACAATGAAAGAATGTTTCTTTTACTCTTCAAAGAGAAGAGTGAACTGGGGGAGAGGGGTAGGCAGGAAGAAAAATATAACAATGAATGAATGGAAATTAAAATTTATAATAAAATTTTTAAAAAGATGGGAGTTGAGGAATATAAAGGAAAAAGAAACTGTTTCAATGAACAATGTTGACTAAAACTACAAATAAGAAATTTGAGATAGCTTTGTATATCCTGTTGCTGTTACTCTGTTGCCATCGAACCCTCTAGCAGAACCAATCCTCTAGGAACCAAACATCTAGCAAGTTTTCAGAGACAATAAATTGCACAGGAGGAAAATGCCCATTCTTCTCCTCTGGAGCAACCGATGGATTTGAACCACATGCCTTTGGGACTGCAGTGCAGCTTCTTACTACGAGACCCTAACCAACTATTAAACATTCTTTAATGCTCAGTAAAAATATGATGCAGTATCTATTCTCATATAATACTGGTAGCAAAATATTGCTGAAGATCATTCAAAACTGGCTAGAATAGTACATAGATAGGGAACTGCCAGAAGTTCAAGCAGTATTTAGAAGAGGATGTGGCACCAGAAATATCATTGCTGATGTCTGGTGGAAACTGGATAAAAGTAAGGAATACCAGAAGAATGTCTATTTGTGCTTAATGACTATGCAAAGGCATTTGACTGTGTGGATCATGATAAGGTGTCGCTGACATTAAGAAGATTGGGAGTCTCAGAGCACTTCATCGTGCTCATTCAGAACCTATACTGGGAGCAGAATGCTGTTGTGTGAGCATAACAGAGGAACACTGCAATAGTTTAAAATTGAGAAGGGAATGTGTCAGGGTTGTATTCTCTCTCCATAGCTATTCAACCTGTTTGCTGAGCAAATTATCTGAGAAGCTGGACTCTATGAAGAGAAGTGTGGCATCAGGATTGGAGGGAGACTCATCAATAACCTGAATTAAGAAGATAACACAATCTTGGTTGTTGAAAATGAGAAAGACTTGAAGCATTTGTTGCAGAAGATCAAGGAATGCAGCCTTCAGTATGGATTGCATCTCAATGTCAAGAAAGCAAAGATTCTTACTATGAGACCAAGAGGCAACATCATGATGGATGGAGAAGAAATTGAACCTGTCAGTAGCTTCATCTTACTTGGATCTATAATTAACACCCTTGGCACAAGCAGTCAGGAAATAAGGAGATGCACTGTTGTTGCTATTGTTGATTGCCTTTGAGTAGAGCATAACTCATAGCGATCCTATGAAAAAAGGCCTGAAGCCCCTCTATAACGATCAGCATTTATCAAAGTTCATAGAGTTTCCAGAGGCAAGTTGATTAGGAAGTAGATGCTACTCCTGCTTCTAAGGAGATACACTGCACCGGGAAAACCTTCAGTAAGGGACCTTTCCAAATTACTGAGGAGTAAAGATGTCAGTTTGAGGACCAAAATGAATCTTATTCAGGCCATAGTCTTTCTGGTCACTTGCTGTGCATCTGCGAGCTGGACAATGAATAAGGATGACAGAATTGATATTTTTAAATTGTGGTGTTGGAGAAGAGCACTGAACATCCCATGGATGGCCAAGAGAACAAACATATATGTTGGAGAGGGTGAAGCTGGAGAACTCTATGGAGGCAAAAATGATGAGGCTTTCCCTTACATACTGTAGGCATGTTGTTAAGAGGGACTATTCCTTTAAGAAGGACATGATTCTGGGAAGGGTGTAGGTTGACGAAGTAAAGGAAGACCCTCAGCCAGGTATACTGACACAGTGCCTACTACAATGGGCTCTTGTGTGTCAGGAAGTGAGACGATGGCACAGGATAGAACAGGGTCCAATTCTTTTGTTCATAGGGTCACTATGAGTCATACTCAACTCAAGGGCACCTAACAACAACAACAAATCATATAGATAATGCTTGTCTTTTTCCCTAATAAAGAGCTAGTCGATTAAAGCCACTGCCTTTGGGTTGGCAGCACAACTCCTAACTCTTAAGTCACCAAAGCTAAATAAGCAATAGAAAAATCCACCTATATCAAAATATGCAATTTTAAAAATAGAAACAATCTAATATAAAAAACCCAGTAATTATTATGTCAATTATTATATAACTATTTGATGGCCCATTAAAAATGAAATAGATTATATAAAATATCAATAATTCATTCTTCAGTAATTACTACTTGGTGTTAAGTATTTTAGGCATCTAGCTCTTTCTCACAGAATAGCAAATAATAAAGGAGCTCTGCTGGCCTAGTAGGTAAGGAGTTGCACTGTTAACCCAAAGGCAAGTGTCTTGAATCCACCAGTTGCTCTATGGGAGAGAGATGTGCAATATCCTCCCACGCAATTTACAGTCTCAAAAAACCTTCTGGAGGTTCAGCTATACGTTGGTTCCACTCCACAGCAATGAGTTTGAGTTCTTGTTTGTTGGTTTTATAAAAAAATAATAATACCAGAGTGCAAAATCGTTAAGGTTAGAGTCAAACAGAATTAAAAAAAAAAAAAAAATAGAAATGATACTAAATGCTAACAATAGTTAAACTAGGGTATAGTTATTTTTTTTGTTTAATGACAAATGATTTGGTAATAGAGGAAATTACTTCCATTTGGGGAAAATGAACACAATAAGCAATTATTTTGAGTGAATATAAAGGGGAAAGAAAAAAAGTAAAGTAAATAAATAAAGAATTTTGCTTACAACAACTGTCCTCACTGAAACTGGGATGATAATTAACCTTTTTAGTCTGTCTCTTAGGCCAGAATTCAAAATGTCTGTCCTGCTGTTTGGAACTCCTATCGGACACACCCACTTTCCTGTCCACAACCAGAGTCTCTCATAGCCATTTCAACTAATTCTAAGGTTGAAAACCCTCTCCGATTAACTGTGAGGTCTCCAATGTCTTATAAACATACATTATAATTTTGTATTTTTAGACTAAATAGATATGGAAAAGGATACAACTGTGATGCTCACCTTTCTCCTCAAAGTAGAGTCTCCCCTAATGACACGGATAGAGTAAAGCTCTCACCCAATTCATGTGCTGATACGGCAAGATTCAAAATTAGGAGAAACAGCTGTAAATATCTAATAGTAACTGGAGCATGGAATGTATGGAGAATCAATCTAGGAAAATTAGGACTTGTCAGAAAGGAAATGGAATACATAAAAGATTGACATCCCAGGCATTAGTGAGCAGAGGTGAACTGGTTTTGATCATTTTGAATCAGACAATTACATGACCTATTATGTCAGAAATGACAAAGTGAAGAATGGGTGGCATCTAGAGTCAAAAACATCTATCCTGAAGTATAATGCTGCGAGTGATAGGATATTACCCATTCACATATAAGGAAGTCCTATTAATATAACCATTATTCAAATATAGGCACTAACCACAAAAGCCAAAGATGAAGAAATTGAGCATTTCTACTGAAATGACTGAACATGCAATCAAGATACATCAGTAATAACTGGTGACTGAAATGCCAAAGTTGGAAGCAAAGGAGAAGGACTAGTAGTTGGAGGACATGGTACATATGAATAATAAAATAGAGCCATTTAAATTTCATAAAAAGTATTTAAAAAGATGGGGAAATGTTTAACCATTACTAAGCATTGTCTAGTGAATAAGGAAGCACCCAAAGGCAGGCAGTTCAAATCTAGCAACTACTGGATGGGCAATCTTCTCCAGTGCGATGTATAACCTCTGAAAATCTGTGCGAAGGTCAGCCATGAGTCAATTACAACTCCCTGACAGTGAGTTTTAAGAAGCATAAGAAACAAGGGAGCTCTGGTGACCTAGTGGCAAGAAGCTGCACTACAATCCCAGAGGTACACGCTTCAAAGCCATCAGATGCTCTCTGCTGGAGAAGGAGGGCCAATCTCCTCCTGTACCAGTGAGATCTGATTGACGGTACACACACACAAAAACAATAAAATTGATGATAGATGATAGATAGATAGATAGATAGATAGATAGATGATAGATAGATAGATAGATAGATAGATAGATAGATAGATAGAGAAATTAAATATTCATACACAGGGCATCACCTTAAATCTAAAGGTTGAATTTGTATGCATGCAAGACTAGAAAGAAATACATGACTGTCAGGCTAGTTTTCCTTTAATTTACTTTTATATTAAGTACAAAATTCAAAATTTCTATGTGTATAATTCAGTAACTAATATTATTTAAGTCATATAACCACATTAACTAGCCTCTTGCAAGTTATTTTACCAGTATCAGCAAAAACTCATTGTCCTCTAGTAAGAAAGTCCCTCTCATTCTTATAAATAGTAATATATTTAGTTTCTATATTTATAAGGGGATCTCTGGTGGCTTAGTGGTAGGAAACTGCGTTGCCAAGCCGAAGGTATATAGTTTAAATCCACCAGCTATTCCAAGGGAGAAAGACGGGCAATCTCCTTGCATATGATTTACTGTATCAGAAAACCCACTGGAAGGTCACCTATGGGTTGGTTACAATTCAACAGTACACAACAACAACAATAATATATATTTACAAAAGAACAAACATGCAACTAGGGTGCTCCTTAGCGACAAGGATAGTGAAACTTCTTCTCACATACTCTGGGCATG